TATTAATTTAATGTTTGATGGCAACAAGAAACAGAACCAGAACTGAAACCGTGACGGCTAATAATGGCTGAAGCATGAGAGAACGGGGCAGATAATAAAAAAGAGCGAGTCGCCACCGGAGAGCGAAAGGGCTGTAAAGTCTCGGGAGTTTTTGCCAGTGTACCCCCAAATGCTATTCTATTTCATATTTGGTCCTCAAATATTTATACTTTTTGTGAGGACTCCTTAACTTTGGATGATTATCAGATAACCCTCCGTGACTTTCAAAATACCCGAACGCCCCAAACACAACGGCACGCACAAAAAAAAAGGTTAGGGGTTATCAGAAAAAAGCCTTTTTATTATTACGAAAAATAAAAAAAAAACTTAAAGTGTTACTCGTGTTGGTCTTTTTGTTTTGATGATGTTTTAACAAACAATTTTACAACTAATATTGTTTGTCTAGTGTTTGTGTTTTCTTATTTATTCTAGGCAAACAATGAGTCGGTAGTTAGCTGAAATGCATTCAATGAGGAGAGGTAGTGAATAAAACTGTGAGACTAAACCCAAATGGTGTGAGTTTATTCATAAAGATTACCCATCATATATAGTTTGATGCAATTTATGAAAAGAGAGAAGGTTAGCAGAGTATAAACGACAATTGTTGATAATTTTCCATTATAATTTGTGTATTTTAATCTATCTATCATTCGAAAATTTGTACAAACTATTGGATTTTACTAAATATTTGATCTTCTATTCTTTATGTTGTCTCTCCCTAATTAAATAACAGCGTCCCACGTAGCAAGTTCTAGCTCTCTCTTGGAGAAGGATATATTCACCAAGAAATGCAGACCCAAAGAGGAGGAATAAGCAAGTATCCAACACACCAAATATAAACATATGATTAATTGAGGCAAAATGAAAATTGCTACATGTCTCAAATGACCGTACATCTTACAAGCATAATAATTATGTATATAATCCTTGAATACACTAAAAAATGACCCCTATAATGAAACAGTGCCTAAATGTAAATTTGATAGTTACCACATTGATGATTCAATATATGTTCCACGAAAACCATTCCGTTCCGACTCGTGAACCCCAACGATGGTAGGTCCGGCAGGCGATGCAACCGCATGTCTTTCAGCTGACCGGGATGCTTTCTTGCATTATTAAACACGGTAGCAGCTCCTAAAACCTGTAACATAAAGAAGTTTGTAATGTTAGCATTTCAGAGAAGTACGTAGGAAACCTTGCTGGTTCTTTCTTACTCTCCTTTCCTGTAGCAGCAATATCACATAACTGTTTAATATATTATGATAAATGATACAATGCTTCGTAGGATAAGACCTTTTTAGCAAAATTGACACAGGTTCTGAACTTCAATTTGGATATATTCGTTCTTAAGTAATAATTGATCAAGGCATCTCAGCTTTAAAAGTGGCGATTGTACTGCTTAAGCTAAAATTTGTCTCGGTAATGTGCCTATTAAGACAATTATTATAAAGTGTGAAGTGTTTGAGAAATCAGAGCATCAGTATGCTCTCTCCACTCAAAAAAAAATGCATTTTGTAATGCGCATATTAAGATAATGACTGCACAGGTGTGAAATGTTAGTCAGATCAAACTATAGATACGCTTTCTCCACTTCGTAATAATAAAAAAAATCTGGTAATTGCTAATTCCAGCCCCAGGATATTGAAAGGTGAAATATGATTTCTGGAGCATCAAAAACAGGCAGTACATTTACATGTAGTTCTCCATACCGTTATTACGTAACTACTCAAGATATGTATGGTACCAAAATTACTTGAACTTCTAGAAAAGGTTTTGGCGAAAACTTAACAAATGAATAGCTGGAAGTCTTTTAATTTGATTCCCACAGAAAAATTACGTAACTCACCGATATCTGCAAGTACTTTAATTTGATTCCTGTTTTTCCTTTGAAAAGAAGTCTCCATTACGTAACTCACCGATATCTGCAAGTACTTTAATTTGATTCCTGTTTTTCCTTTGAAAAGAAGTCTCCAGCTCCAAAACCACATTTTTCACTACAAACTTTAATTTGATTCCTGTTTTTCCTTTGAAAAGAAGTCTCCAGCTCCAAAACCACATTTTTCACTACAATAGAAATAGGACCTTATGATGAGAGCAGCATGACCAAAGTTAACGTTAATATTAATATATAAGAAAGAAAAATCTAGTATTAGATAGACAACACTTAACATGTTCCTTTTAAAATGCAAACAAAAGCAACTACAGATTATACAACACACGTAAAGATCCACACTCAAAACAAGTGTAAAAGTATGAATTGGTGATGTTTATCATGTTAGTATTGTCCTATAGCTGTCCTTGGTCCTACAATTCACAAAGTCAGCTGCAGAATTTGACAGCTATGATGTTTCACTTTATCAAAGTATGATCAAGAAAGTAAGAGAGGGAAAAAAAAATCAAATATATACTTGATTGCTCCATCCAAAGAAGAATCCACATGGAACTTTAGTTCCTTTAAAAAAAATCAAATATATACTTGATTGCTCCATCCAAAGAAGAATCCACATGGAACTTTAGTTCCTTTAAGAGATGATAAAATTAACATATCTTCAAAGAGAATCCACATGGAACTTTAGTTCCTTTAAGAGATGATAAAATTAACATATCTTCAAAGTAAATGATAATAGTTAAACACCGCTAGATACCTGACTTCAACATACCACAATATAAAACAAAGTTTTTCAGTGAACCAAATCTATTTAAGATCATCCAAGTAGAGCATACCCATTTAAGGCTTCACGGAGAATAATTATACATACGAAAAATGAGAATATCAGTGGATTTATAAGAGTTGTCTCTTATATATAACCCTGAGGGTCTACCTAGAGAGTAGTCAGCGCACATACATAAATTTATTATCATATAGGTATACACACACATATATAAGTAATCCATATCGAAGCATGTGTTGGTCAGTTCCTAAACTATCTCCTGTGGAGAATGCGACGTACGTCAGTCATTCTTAAACTTCTCCTCTGGAAACAACTATTATCCATTCATTTCCAGCTTCCATGCTATCATCCATACCTATCTCATTCACTATTGACATGGTTTGATTATCTTGAAAATAGTTATATAATTTTTTCCATTAATTTATTAGTTTCCAATGAAGAAATAATCATGGTGGGTATTCATTTGAATAATTGTTTTTTCAGATCATAATATTACCATAATGTGCATATATGCAACAGCATTGTAATATGAGGTCTTGTTTATCACATAGGTAATGGCTAGTAATTCCAAGATCAAAACACTCCTATCTCCTAACAATCCATCATAGCCTTTTGCATCTGGATGCTGAATGAAGTAGAATGCAAGGCTTATCCACTTCAGTCTGAATCATACCCCCAAAAAAAAGCAACTTTGGCTCTATCTCCATCCTTCTTTAAAAAAACTCGAAGAATTACGCTATTCAAGGTTAAACTCTTAATACTAGCCCAAAGATGAGTTCTTTTTACTAGCTTAGAGATAGCATCACACAAGTAGAACACCGTACCATAACATTGAATTAAATTGAATCACCTGAGAATTAGTGAGATATACGCAGATCACATTTGACGCATCTTATACCTAACATGACAACCTCAACTTTGTAGTATAAAAAATGCTAACCAAACAATGTATCCACTGATAACCCAGAAATTATACATGATTATTTCATCAACACAAGAGTACAAACTATATAGCACATCAAATCTTGCACGCAAGTATGCTCTTCTGTATTGTTATTCATAAGCATCATTGTTTCTTTTCTCCAGTTGTAAAATAATCCTTCACAATCTATGATCTTGCCACTTCTCAATCGCAACAGACCTCGCATATCCAACAACAGCATAGTGCAGCAAGACTGTAGGAAAAAAACAAACCACTCATTAAGTATATTAATCTTTGCTATTTACTTTGATTAAATGGAAAATGACCCAGAAAAGAAGCAAAAAAATAAAAATAAATTACCATCCTTCAATGAAGCTTTTATCATCCTTCCTTTTGGTATGAGGGCAAAGAGGCCTCTTCTGTTTTATTGTGCGAGTAGGGTATCCTTTTGTAATAAGAAAACAAAGAAGAAGAAAAAAGAAATATGTCAGCATCATGTTTATTTGCACTATTTAAATTGTGCTCAACTTCATGAAAAAAAAATGCACTAAAAGAATTTATCATGATACTATTATTTCCGCCATTCGATTCAGATGTCATGTGAAAATCATATCACAGTAAATTACCATCAGTACTCAAAGCTTAAGAAAATTAAATCCGTAAATCCTCAAAAGAAGTAATTTATTGTCAGAAATCCAGAATCACGCGTGCATCATATGACATTCAAAAAACATAAGCGCTATTAAAATAGTTTAAAGGGTATAAGTGGCTATACCGCCACAGTGCAAGGGATGTATCCGCAATTATATCAAGAACTGCAACAAAAAAAAAAGTATCACTATATAAATACCTGGAGGAGGAGGGTGCCGGTTGCCTAGTTTCCCTCTGTTACTCGTTGAGTTATCCATTTGTGATTCTGATATCAAGAGAACACACCAAACTAATTAAAGATGAGAGATCTCAATTTACTAATGCAGATATCCATGTAACATAACAATGTCTATATATAGTGGAGATGATATACTTTCGGCATGCTTATCTCGGTGCCTTTAACAATATGAACGATGGAGATGATATACTTTCGGCTTCTTTTTTCACGTTGCCTCTCTCAACTTCTACTATTTAATTTCAGAAGGAATCTATTGTTGTGGTCAGCATGCAAGTATGTCTCCTTTATGACATGTGAGCTTTGTTCTCTCCATCTCAAAGTCTCCTCCATCTCTCTCCTCTTTTTCTGAAAGAGTTCTTTACAGTTGGATTCTTTGAGCACGAGAAATTAATGTGTTTAAATTGTAGGTATAATTAATTATGCAAAGTTAATGTGTCAAAAATCAATTAGAATGAAATGTGTTTTTCATGGTTTAACACGTAAATCTCATTTTTAAAGTGTCGGCATTCATCTTGTCACGCGTTGCATACTCACATGTGAGTAGCATGAGGTAGCATGAGGTAAGGGAGTATGAGTCAACTTTGTATTTGTATATTGCTAAGGAATATGTTATGAGATATTGTTGTGATATTGGGAATATGTAGTGAGTGGAAACTCAAACTAGGCTGCTCTATAACTATGCTAAGAAAATTCTATCGCTGCAACAAAACTCTGAAGTGGCGATGTAAAGACCTCAAAACACATATTTCCTTAAATTTGAACTTAGAAGAAATTTTCAAAAGAGCCCCATTCCTTTTTTTTTTAAATCAACCATATTCTAACTTATTCACAAAAATCGACCCACTTTCTCGCCACATCAGCATCGTGACGAGAAAGTGGGTCGATTTTTTTTAATCCCGTTCCTAAATAGTCGGGGTTGCTAACCGCGACTATTTAGGACGTCGCCCGCTATTTAGATCCTAAATTAGTCGTAACCCCAACTAATTAAGTCAATTACTTTTCTAAAACGGTCGGGGTTGATAACCCCGACCATTCATATCTCATTGATTAAGTAGCTTACTGTGTGTGTATAAGGGGAGCTTTCTTAGGGAAGAAAGATTTTCGTCATCTTGCATGTGCTGTCCATTATGCACAGGATATATTACATATAATAAGTTGAAAAGCTGATAGGATCTTTTGATTTACAACAAAACGTGGTCTAATTAATCCATATTCTTCAATAATCAGCAGCTGAAAACTTTTCTAAATGGTCAGGGTTGGGAACCTCAACCATTTTGAAATAGGCAATTTCGAAATGGTCGGGGTTCCCAACCCCGATCGAACATTTTATGCTTGACTAAACTAACGGCGACCTAAATAGTCGGGGTTGCTATTTTGTAAATAAATTGGAATAGCCGCGATGCTGACGTGACGAGAAAGTGGGTCAATTTTTATAAATAAATTGGAATAGGGTCGATTTTTAAAAAAAATTAAGGAACGAGGCTATTTTGTAAATTTCTTCCTTGAACTTACGTATTTAAAGTGAAATTCAAATTTTTTTGAAATAATCTCGAAGTGACTAATATGCTCTCAGCCTTGCATCAAATTTGAGATTAACAATAAATAGAAGTGAGGATTTATTTGAACTAACTTAAATTAAGCTTTCAAGATGTAGGCGTCCAATTAAATCATGCTCTACAAACAACACGCACGCCCAGGTAGCCTCATACCGGTGCTACACTACAACATCGATCTGGAGTTTCCACAGTCCACCAAATATTGAGGGTTCTTATTTGTTAGATGTTATTGGTAAATTGTATAGTCAACAGGATCCCTTGAAATCTTTAAATTTACGGTAATTGATAAGTTCGATTCTCAACCTTATATATGAAAACAAACTCACAGATGATGTATCGATGCTATTTTTTCTTCGGATAAAAAAGATCATAATATGATTAACTAGCAACTTGAGCATATAATTCTTTCACAACTCACTCCAAAGCTTTTATCACCACTACTTAATTTCTGTGTACTGCCCTTAAAATTGAGAGTTTAGTGTGTTAGCTGTTTAGGAAACACAGGACCCACCTAGAAATTAAAGATTAGGATGATGTACGAGGAGAATATATATAAGATTTTTGTCTAATACTAAATATTCTTTTGTTTGATTTGTCCGTAAGTATATTCTTGAGCTTTTATATTATTCGTGCATGAGCTTGAAATGCAGCATCTTTCCCTTTTTCTCGCTCCTTCAATTTCTTCACTCCACGATGCTTTCTACATAATAATGTTGTATATGTTGTAATTTTGAACTGAGTAGTGAAGAAAACTTTGGCTAAGGGGCTGTTTGGATTGATTTTTTAGATAGGTAAAAGGGGGAAAAGCTGTCAAAAATGTCAGCTTTTTGACAGCTTTCCCCCAAAATCACCTTTTATAGAGGTGTTTTGGGGGAAAAGCTGCCAAAAAACTAACATTTTTGGCAGTTTTCCCCTCTTTTACCTATCCAAAAAATCAATCCAAACAGCCCCTAAGGCTAGTTTGATAGAGAATTAGAGAGAGAGATGTAGAAGAAGATAGAGAATTTGGTGCTTTTTGTTTTTTTTTATTCATAGGTTTATATAGACTTATACATGATCCTTCATATTCCATACATTAACTCTATACATTTACTTTCATAGAATACAAAGAGTCATCTCTTAGAATATCACCCCACTTATTATACTATGACTCTTAGGATTCCATTCCACTTAGGATATCACACTATGGCTCTTAGGTTGTTTAGGTTGCTAAACACTGATTAGTTCAACACTCCTCCTCAGGGGTTAGCAGGTTTAACACTCATTAGTTCTCGAAGTGTGCAGAAACGATCCTTCGGCAAAGCTTTGGTGAGAATGTCTGCAGCATGATCTTCAGTTTTACAGTAGATGACCTCCATCTCCTTGTCCACGATCGCGTCCCTAATGAAGTGGTATTTTCTCTTGATATGTCTTGTCCTTTGGTGGAAGACGGGATTCTTTGCCATCGCGATCGCTGACTTGTTGTCGCAGAGGAGAGGAGTAGGCTGCAGTTGTTTTTCACCAATGTCTTCAAGCATATCCCTCAGCCACTTGATTTGCGATGATGCTTGAGAAGCTACCACGTACTCGGCTTCTGCAGTTGATAGTGCCACGGACTCCTGCTTCATCGACGCCCAGGAGAACACACCCGATCCGAGTGTGAAGCAGTATCCAGATGTACTCTTCATGTCATCTTCATCACCTCCCCAGTCACTATCGCAGAATCCGAATAGCTTTGCTGAGGAGTTCTTCTCAAAATGGATCCCAATATTCTGGGTGCCTTGGATGTACCTAAGGACCCGTTTGGCAACTCCCATGTGCACTCTTGTTGCACAATGCATGAACCTACTTAAGAGACTTGAGGCAAACATGAAGTCAGGTCGAGTATTAGAGAGGTAGAGGAGACTCCCTATGATACTTCTATAGAGGTTGAGGTCTTCTCATTCGGTACCGTCTCTCTTCTTGAGTTTATCACTGACCACCAGTAGGGTAGAGACAGGCTTATAGTCTTCCATGCCGAACTTCTTCAAGATTGACTGTTCATAGGCCTGCTGATGAATGATGATGACATCTTCATCCTGTTGGATCCCCATGCTAAGAAAGTGGTGAAGGAGGCCTAAATCTGTCATCTCGTACACCTCCATCATGTCTTTCTTGAACTCATGCAAATCTGTCATCTCGTACACCTCCATCATGTCTTTCTTGAACTCATGCATAAGCTTCTCACTGTTGCCTGTATAGATAATATCATCTACATATACAGCTACAATGAGAATATCTACCTCATCTCTTTGAATGTAAAGTGTGGCTTCACTAAGGCTCCTTTTGAAGTTGTGTTGGGTGAAGTAAGAGTTGACCTCTTCATACCACGCCCTTGGTGCTTGCTTGAAACCGTAGAGCGCCTTGTGGAGCTTGTAGACTTTATCCTCGGCTCCTGCAACTTCGAACCCTTGCGGTTAATGGATGTGGACTTCTTCTTGTAGCACCCCATTGAGGAATGTCGACTTCACATCGAGCTGGAATACCTTCCACCCTTTGTCAGCAGCTAGAGCAATCAAGAGACGAATTGTCTCTAGCCTGGATCAACTCCGTCTTCATTAGACCACATAGGTCTGTATGGATCAACTCCAAAGGCTTTGTTACCCTCCATGCTCCTTCCTTTGGGAACTCGCCTCGGTGCTGCTTGCCTTTCATGCTACTAGAGCAGACACCTTCAACTTCATCAATGGTTGGGAGGCCATACACCATTTCTCTGCTTTGAAGAGTCTTGAGGTTTTGGAAGTTGAGATGCTCGAGCCTCTTGTGCCATAGCCAGGAGGAGTTCACCTCTTCGACCTTTAGAGCTTGAGTGTTCAAGTAGTGCAGTGAGAGAGGAAAACTTCTGCTGGGTTGCATAATTGACTTTGGCCACCAAGTTGTTAAAACTCCTATCATCATAGATCTTCACTGCTTGATCACCAAAAACTAGAAAATAACCGTTAAGGAGCATTTGACCTACACTTAACAGATTTTCCTCTAGACCCGGTACAAGCATTACATCCTTGATGTATCTTTTTTCTTTCTTTGTATTTACAGCCAAGATACTCTTTCCTTCAGATTTTACAATATTCTCATTTCCCATCTTAACACTACCAAGATAGGATGTGTCTAAGTCTATAACTAGTGACCGGTTCGCGGTCATGTGGTTACTACAGCCACTGTCAATATACCAAAGACTACCATCACTATCTTTTCCTCCATGACAAGCAAAGAAAATATTACCTTCGCCATCCTCTTCTTGGTTTGCAAAGACTTGCCGACAAGTTTGGTTTTGATTTCCTTGAGTCCCGCACTGCTCTTTGGTATGATCCAATCTAGAGCAATTGGTGCACTTGGGCTTCCCCTCGAACCAACACTTCCCTTGATGAGGCTTGCCGCAAGTTCTACATGTGGATTTGCTACCTTTTTGGGAGTTGCCACTTTGTTGTTGTTGTTGAGGCTTTGGAGCAAAATTGGGCTTGCCTCCTTTCTTCTTCTTCTTTTGCTTCTGGCTCTGTTGTTGATTTGAGCTTCATTCCTCTTATCAAGCTTTTGGTCAAACGCCTTGATGGATGTGATTGCCTCTTGTAATGAAAGTCTCCATATCTTTTGTTTCTTCTATCACACTTACAATGTGGTCATATCTACTAGAGAGAGAAATAAGAATTTTTTGAACTACTCTTTGATTTGTTACATCTTCACCATATGTTTTTAATTGATTTATAACATTGGTGAATCTAGTAAGAAAATCATCGAGTCTTTCTTCTACTCTCATAGAGATTTGCTCAAACTCTTTTCTAATAGTTTGAAGCTTAATCGTCCGTACCTTTTCACTTCCACGGTACTCTTCTTGGAGGATGTCCCACACCGCCTTTGTTGTCTCCTCGTTGGAGATCCTGGGGAAGATGGAGTCGGATACGGTATTTTGGATCAACCCGAGGGCTTTGGCATCCCTCATGTAGTTGAGCTTTAATGTCTTCTGCTCCGTCGAGGTGAGAGAGTCTTCGTCTTCTGGCACCTCAAAACCTTTCTCCACCAGCTTCCAAAGGTCATGCGCTCTGAATATCGTCATCATCTTGATCCGCCAAAAGTTGTAGTTCTGCCCGGAGAAGATCAGTGTTCGTATCTCGCCGAAGGTAGGTTTTTGGTCGGACTTAATGACTATTGGGTCAGCCACTTGAACCCGAGATGAAGTTGGAGAATCAACGGTTGTATAGGTCATTTTGAGGAGGCTATTTGGAAGAATTTTGGTAGTGGGTGTTGGTGTTTTTGTAGAGGTAGGGTTTCTTTACACTCAGTTGTCGTAACGAAGCTCTGATACCATGTTGTAATTTTGAACTGAGTAGTGAAGAAAACTTTGGCTAAGGCTAGTATGATAGAGAATTAGAGAGAGAGAGAGAGAGAGAGAGAGAGAGAGAGAGATGTAGAAGAAGATAGAGAATTTGGTGCTTTTTGTTTTGTTTTTTTTTTATTAATAGGTTTATATAGACTTATACATGATCCTTCATATTCCATACATTAACTCTACACATTTACTTTCATAGAATACAAAGAGTCATTTCTTAGAATATCACCCCACTTATTATACTATGACTCTTAGGATTCCATTCTACTTAGGATATCACACTATGGCTAGCTCTTGGGTTGTTTAGGTTGCTAAACACTGATTAGTTCAACAGTATATGCTATACTGGCCAGGCTATCTTCATGATTTCTTTGATCAAAATCAAATATGAAATAAAAACTATATATGAACACGTACTCTTAATGATCACAACACTGGTTAACGTAAACTAATGCAGCATTTTCATATATCCATTTGTAGGTGTACACATAAGCTAGAGCAAATTTTATTACACCCTGGTTACATCAACACACCATATCTTGTACATAGCTAAGTACACTCCTGCAATATGCTCCGTATGAAAAAGTAGTCTTTCACAAGCCATGCATGGTTGATTTACGTCTCAATCACAGCAGACATCGCATAACCAACAGCAACAAAGGGCAGCAAGGCTACAAAAGAGAAAGGAAAACACCCGTTACTTCCATTGATATGTAATCTTTAGTTAACTGCAAATAGAACCCTTTGCTGTTTTGAACTTACTACCCCCTCTAGTTTTGTTTTTGCAATGTATAGACTCCCTGGGTGTTTTTTTTTTTTGGCCATTTAGCCATCAGGTAAACTCGCAAATTTCGCCCAGGTGCAAAATCTGCCAAAATTTCACTCAGGGCAACGAGTTACGTACCCAGGGGTCTATCTGCCAATATGAAACTACAAGGGTAACAAGTTCGATACAACGAGGGGTCCATGCACAATTAAGCCTATTTAACACTTAATTTGATTAGATGAAAGATGATTCAAAAGAGAGAGGAAAAAAAAAACATTACCATCCTTCAATGAAGCTCTTATCATCTTTCCTTTTGGTACGAGGGCAGCAAGGCCTCTTATGTGGTACTGTGCGAGTTGGGTATCCTTCAACAAATATATTTTTTTTAGAAAAAGATCAGCTTTCTGAATGCTTATTTGCACAAATTAATCAAATTTCTTATTGATTCCTATGAAAATTGCTTATATGCTAGATAGAGATATATAGAAAGAAAAAACACATCATTATTTTCCTGACGTACGTTTGATCATCACAGTTGCATATTCGGGTTTCAGAGTGTTTTACATGAAAAGGACTACAATAAGCAGGATTTTGATGGTAGAACTAATCGCAAATACACCCTAGATGCAGCGTCAAGCTAATTTTCTAAGCCATTTCATTAGCACCTGTGTCAGAACCAAGTGATGATAAATTACTTCTTTTCACTTTCGATTTAAAAACTGATCGAAAAACGAAAAATTTTAAGCATAATAGCTGTCGCGCGTTAAAAGAAGGAAATTTTCGCTGTAATTACCTGGAGGAGGCTGTTGGTTGCCTTGTTTCCCTCGGTTACTCTTCAAGCTATCCATTAGTGATTCTGATAGCAAGATAGAGAACACAGCAAACTAAAGGAGATCGAGAAACCTTGCTTGCTGCAGATGTTCAACTAACATGAGGGTGATCTATATATCTATATTTATAGTGAAACAAAAGGTCAGCATATCTTTGATGGCTTGACAATAAGAGCACTGAAAATGGTATGATCTAAAATTAATTTTGACTATTTGAGAAGGAATATATCCTTCTTTGACATGAACAAAGCTTTTGTTTTCACGTGTATGCATCGTTGTTTACTTTAGACATTCAAGAAAGAAAAAAGAAAAGGTTTGGGGGGGTATGAATATTGTTTTTGCAGCCACCACCTTCTTTCTTTTGTGTGGGTTTAGGGATCAGATTCTTCGCTCTTCAAGATAAATAAAGAGTAAGATCTGATTCCTTCCCCCAGAAAAAAGATAACACAAACATTTTTAGTACATTCTGTGGTGGCATCTTAATTCATCATCTGGCAGTAAAAAAAGTCCAATTTGCAAAAGAAGAGTTTGAAAATATTGTAGCTATAAGTTGAAACTGCGAGTTTCGTCAAATCTCGAGAAAAAGATTGCAGCGGTTGGTTTGGTTCGCCTACAATTCGCCCTCATCTGTAATGCAACTCTCTGGGGACTTCTACTCAACTGCCATTGATGCATTCAGACACCATAATTGTTCCACATATTTCTGGGTTTACTCTTGAAAGTGAGTGCGTTATGTACATAATACCTGCGGAAAATGTTGGGATCGTGTCTTTGATTCTTTGTACGTATAACTTCATAAGAATTAGATAAGGTTTGAGATCTATCATGATTAGGAGATTGAGTCTCATCATGATTAGGAGTTTGAATTGTGGAAAAATCAGAAAAACCAGAAAAACTGGCATAAGTCGACTCATGCACAAGGCTAAGTCGACTTATGGTAAGTCGACTTGCCAGTGTGCATGAGTCGACTTACGATCTGCAGCGGAGTTGTGGTTTTTGCCTCTGCCAAGTCGACTTATAATGTCTGATAAGTCGACTTACGAAGTCCTCTCCTGTTGCTGTTTTTTCCTCTGCTAAGTCGACTTACGCCCTCTGTTAAGTCGACTTATAGCGGGTTTTTTGCATACGCAGGTTTCCTATTTGCAGTCTAATTGGGGTTTTGTTTTGGTATAAATAGGGAAACGATTTGAGAGGGTTGAATATCAGAGATTAAGGAATCTTTTGAGCATTGTGAGAGGTTGATATTGTGGGCAAGGTGAGATCTTTGGTTGAGGGTTAGTTTGAGAGTTCTTGTGTGATTGTAACCCTTTGTACTCTCCTTGAATTAGTGAAATCTCCCCATCCTCTCCCCGTGGACGTAGGCAAATTGCCGAACCACGTATATCTCTGTGTTTGGATTGATTTGGCGTTATTGGTTGGATTTGTGCAAGAGTTTGGCTTTCTTCGACTCCGTGATCACAGGTTCGTTGTGAGTTCGTGCAAGGCTTCCGCAAAGGCGCGCGACAAGTGGTATCAGAGCTCAGATTCAGATCTAGGGTTTTGGATTAGGTGGAGGAAGATTCAGTTTGAAGCTTGGTTCTTGGAGTTCTAGGCTTTGGTGGAGTTAGGGTTTGAAGTTGCCGTTGAAGATCTCGCTTTCCTCGTGTGGTTAGGAGTTCTATTTGGAATCCAATCTAGGGTTCAGTTGGGTAATTTCTTATTCTTTCAAAGTTTGGATCTTTCTCTACAATTTGGAAGTTGTGATTATGGGTGAAGTAATTGGTGAAAGCAGCAAGATGACAGGCACAGTTCAAGTGGGTTTTCAGAACACTAAGATTAGTGTTGTGAAATATGACAGCAAGATCAATTTTGGTTTGTGGATGAGCGACGTACAGGATGCGCTCAATGCTCAAAATCTGGAGGAGACCATCATGGTCGATGTGAGGCCACCTAAATATGAAGAGGCGATATGGGAAAAGATGAATCGAAATGCTTGCGGGGTAATCAGGTCCTGTTTGGAACAGGAGCTGAAACACGATGTGATTGGGGTGACGTCTGCGATGAAGATGTGGGAAATTCTCAACAATAAGTACCTTACGAAGAGTGTTGAGAACCGGTTGCACTTGCTGCGAAGGTTATTCAGATTCCAGATGTCCAGAGGTACCTCGCTTGCGGCTCATGTGAACAACTACACTAAGTTGTTGTCGGACTTGGCGAACGTGGATGAGAAGATCACAGATGAGTACAAGGCTATTATTCTTTTGGGCTCCTTACCGGATGAGGAGTATGATACCTTCGTGCTTACGTTGCTGAACGGGAGATCTTCTATCACTTATAGTGAAGTGACTAACGCATTGACGAACTATGATTTGAGGAGGAAGGATAAGGAGACTTCCCGCGCTAGTACTTCAGGAGAGGCCTTGTCGGCGAGAGGTAGAAGCTCATATCAGAAAGGTGGAAATAGAGGGAGGTCAAAGTCAAGAGGTCGTCACCAGCTTGGAAAGAACCAATGTGCATTCTGCAAGGAGCAGGGACATTGGAAAAGAGATTGCCCGAAAGTCAAAGAAAAGGAGAATAGCAAGAATAAGGGCCCGAAGGCCAATGAGGTGAATGTTGCGAAAGGCGATGATTCCGATGATTCGAGCTTTTCTCTTTTGATTACTCCGGAGGTGAACCATTTGGATGCATCGGAGTGGATGCTTGATTCTGGCGCTACTTATCATGTGACTCCTAGGCGAGATTGGTTCTCATCATTTGAGAGACTCGATGGGGGTGTTGTGGTCATGGGAAATGATCAATCCTGTGGCGTTCGTGGGATAGGTACTGTGAGGATTCGGATGCACGATGGAGTAGTCCGTGAGCTGAAGGAGGTGAGATTCGTTCCTCAACTTAAGAAGAATCTTATCTCAGTGGGGGCTTTGGAGGCGAAGGGATTCAGGGTGACCTTTGAGGATGCTGTAGCAAAGGTTACTAAGGGATCTTTGGTGGTGATGAAGGGAGTCCGAAATCATAATTTATATTATCTGAAGGGGAGCACCGAGATTGGCCAGGTTGCTTCGGCGATTTCAGAGGCGGACATGAGCAGACTTTGGCACTACAGGCTAGGGCATACAGGTGAAAAGTCACTGCAGGCATTGTGCAAGCAGGGGCTTTTGAAGGGAGCCAAGAGTGGTAAAGTAGAATTCTGTGAGCACTGTGTACTTGGCAAGAAGACGAAGGTGAAGTTCGGGACGGCCATTCATAGGACGAGGGGCATCTTGGACTACGTGCACACAGATGTTTGGGGTCCCACTAAGACGGCATCACTTGGTGGTCGACATTGGTTCGTCACGTTCGTTGATGACTATTCTAGGCGATGTTGGGTGTACACCATGAAGCATAAGAGTGAAGTCCTAGATTTGTTTGTGGAGTGGAAGAAGAGATTGGAACTGCAGACTGGGAGAAAGATCAAGACGTTGCGATCCGACAACGGCGGCGAGTATACCTCAGACCCCTTTCTGCAGCTATGTCGAGACGAGGGCATAGAGAGGCACTTCACAGTTAGTCATACACCGCAGCAGAATGGGGTGGCAGAGAGATTGAATCGGTCTTTGCTGGAGAAGATTCGATGTTTATTGGCGCATAGTGGTTTGGAGAAGATCTTTTGGGCTGAGGCACTTTCTTATGCGAGCCACCTCATTAACAGGCTGCCTTCATCTGCGATTGAGGGGAAGACCCCTATGGAGATGTGGTCGAGAGAGACAGCACATGACTATGACCAGCTTAAGGTATTTGGTTGCCCTGCATATTATCATGTTAGAACTGATAAGTTGGAACCTCGAGCTAGGAAGGCCATATTTGTAGGATTCAAGCGTGGTGTCAAGGGATACAAGCTTTGGGATCCAGTTGATAAGAAGATTGTGCTGAGTAGGGACGTCACATTCGATGAGGCTTCTATCTTGAAGCTTCCCAGCTCTCATCAGGTGGAGAGCAACCCGACAGAGGAGATTTCGCAGGTGGTGGAGATTGATGCAGCTCCACAGAGTCCAGATAGTGCAGTATCCATTAGAGTGCCGACTGAGGTGACGCCAGCCGAGCACGACGGTGATGCGGAGGATACGGGTACTCATGAGCAGGATCAGGGACCGACGGCTCAGGTTCAGTATTCTATTGCGGTACGGAGACAGAGGAGAGACATACGGGTGCCAGCACGGTATGCCGACACAGTTGCATATGCACTTCCGGTGGAGAGTATCGATGAGATGGTACCTACTACATTCAGAGAGGCCGAGCAGAGTTCGGAGGCTGATTCGTGGCAGGTGGCTATGCAGGAGGAGATGGAGTCTCTTCACAAGAACGATACATGGAAGCTTGTAGAGCTTCCAAAGGGGCGGAAGGCGATTGGGTGCAAGTGGGTGTACACGAAGAAGGAGGGCATTGAGGGCACTCCAGTGAGGTTCAAGGCTAGGTTGGTTGCGAAGGGCTATGCACAGGAGGAAGGTATTGATTACAATGAGGTTTTCTCTCCGGTGGTGAAGCATTCGTCGATTCGGATTTTGCTAGCTTTGGTGGCACAGTATGGATTGGAGTTAGATCAGTTGGATGTGAAGACAGCATTTCTTCATGGTGATCTTGATGAAGAAATATATATGACTCAGCCATTGGGATTCCGAGCTGCAGGGAAAGATAAGTTGGTTTGCAGGCTAAAGAAATCGCTATACGGTTTGAAGCAGTCTCCTCGACAGTGGTATAGGCGATTTGATGGTTTTATGCTTGGTCATTCGTACACTCGGAGCCAGTTTGATCCTTGCGTGTATTTTCGCAAGTTGAGAGGAGGTGCGTACATTTATTTGTTGCTTTATGTCGATGACATGTTGGTTGCTTCTAGTTCCAGGTCAGCTATAGATGAGTTGAAAGTTCAGCTTTCGAATGAGTTTGAGATGAAGGACTTGGGCGAGGCGAAGCGCATTTTAGGGATGGAGATCGGCAGAGATAAGAAGAAGGGCAGGATTTGTTTGACACAGGTGGCTTATTTGAAGAAGGTTCTACAGCGATTCCATGTTAGCATGGATACGAAGCCAGTTTGTGTACCGTTGGGAGCCCATTTGAAGCTTTCAGCTGGCCTTTCACCGAAGTCAGTTGAAGACCGTGAGTTGATGACGAAGACTCCATATGCGAGCGCAGTTGGGAGCTTGATGTACGCGATGGTATGTAC